CGTGCGTGTGTGTTTGCGTGTTTCTTGTGTAAGCTGAAAGACGCGAAAAATTATTGAAATAGCTAATGCTTCAAGGATCTCGTAGTCGAGCAGTCTCGACTAGAGCTTTCTTACTTGTTTTTTTCTTTTAACTTTTTTTTATCTTGAAGTCTGTGAAAAGTTTCTTCTAATTAACGATGTAGCACATATGTAGATACTTTCCATGTTTGCCTAATTATAACATTCCAAAGAGTTTTGTGCTGGAATATTAATATTAAGATATTAATATTAACACATTCAATTTGAATTCAATATTCGATATTCCTCTATAATAATACGTAAATAGCCCACTTATGTAGTGGTGGGAATATAAAAGTATTTTAGCGCAATACATGTACATAGACATATTTTAAAATATACATACATACATACATATAAAAAATCTTTTGTCATTGTCTTTTATACTTAAGGGACATTTCAGATAAATTACGTGTATTAGAGGAGTGGTCCTTATCATCGGCCAAACGTGCTGGTTGCCTTTTGGTGGGATATGAGGCTTTTCGGACTCTGGTGTTTTATCACAAATATAAAAACCGAGGAAATTTGAGTTCTACAAAATTGGAGAGTATTCGAGAAAAAGTAAACAAATATTTACTACAACCTGGTAATTTAAATTGAAATATCGCACTGAGAAGGAAATTAATACAGATAATTTTAGGTGCGGATCTTGTCGTTTGTGATGAAGGTCATATAATAAAAAACAGCAAGTCCGCTATAAGTCTAGCTGTTGCAAAAATTATAACCCCAAAACGAATTATTTTAACCGGAACTCCAATTCAAAATAATTTAAAAGAATGTTTGTATAGCGTTTGACAACAGTTAATATAATAAATGTATTAAATAATGTTTGTTTTATGTTTCAGATTACAGTATGGTTAACTTTATAAAGCCATTATACCTCGGTACAGAAAAGGAATTTGCTAATTTATATGCTAATCCAATAAAGAATGGACAACATAAGGATTCAAGTAAAAAGGATATTACAGTTATGAAGCAAAGATCGTATGTCTTACACAAAAAACTATCCAAATTTGTACAGGTACTCAAGTATTTGATGTTTTTACAATCTCGCATTTTTTTTTACAATCTCACATTTGTTTTTTTTTTTCATAATAGAGAAAGGAAGCTGAACTGCTAAAGACCTTTTTACCACAAAAATTTGAATATGTGCTTTTTATTCCAATGACTGCGGTTCAAGTATGTAAAATATAAGCATCTTAAAAAATTAAAAGAATATTATTATTTTAATAATAGCTATATATATTATTTAATGTCTGATTCTGTATAGTTTCCTGCTAAACATCTTTATATTACAGAACACTCTATATGAATTTATTTTGGAAGCTATAGCCAGCCGTGGAGATAGTAGAGGAAAAAGTCTCATCACAGATTACACTGTTTTAAGGAAGGTAATCTGATTTTTTTTTTAATGAATATTATTAAAATAATTTGTTATATTTTTAAGATATGGACACATCCCAAGGTCCTCGAAGATGCGTGGAAAAATGCTAACGCTGTAAGTAATATACCGAAGCTCACAATATCGAATGGAGATTATAATTCGTTTTTAGCAGAAAAATAAAAAAGATAACAAAAAGCATGGATGTCCGCATTCTGACGACGATCAGCCAGATGATATTTATGATAGTCAAACTGGTGTGATTTCCGTGACTAATGATTGGTGGCGAAAATATCTTTCAAAAAGGGATCTGGAAACCATTATGCCAAGCAATAAACTTCGAACAATGTTTTCAATTCTTCGTATGTGCGAAGAAAAAGGAGAGAAATGGTACGTTGTTAAATAATAATAAACTAGTAAAAAATAAGTGAGGTTTAGTTATCGATCCATCCATCTGTTTGTCTGTCCTCCCGTATGAATGAACGTGTAACCACCACCGATAGAATAAATATTAGGTTAAGGGGATCTAATATTCTAGCACAATGACTAGAGTTTTGTTGCTTGATGGATTTGGAATGATGCGTTTTAAAAAGAGATTTCAACAATAAGTATAAACTTTGTCAGATTTTGGCTTATTTAAAACTTAAAAACAAAAAAAAACAAGTAAGAAAGCTCTAGTCGAGAGAGCCCGACTACGAGATCCCCTGAACCCTTCGAGCAATAGCTGTTTYAATAATTTTTCGCGTCTTTCTGCTTACACAAGACACACACACGCACACACACACATACACACACACACACACAGAGATACGCACGCACGCATAAACACGCATTGGCTGCAGTGGTGGCTTACTAAAGGAACTTAAYTGTTCAAWAACTTTTCTTGTGGATGTAGTTTCTTCATGAAACTTTCAGATTATGATTATATCATGGATATGTATGTATTTGCCAAAGCACAAGTCTCTAGTATTTGAAATACGCCTTCTACAAATGTGATGGTGAGGGGGTGAATTTTGACAAAAACCGAAATTGTGTAAAATGCATATAAGTATACTCTAGCTTTAAAGATGTAGGAGATAGAAATTTATTACTGGTTTTCGATAATGTTTTTAATCGATAACAAAATAACGGGGCAATTTATTTATTTATTTATATCGAAATTTCAAGTCTCTAGCTCTTATATTTTCTGAAATCCACGCGTTCAAACATACGGACAGACGGACAGGGCTAAATCAACTCAGCTCGTCGCCCTGATCAGGAATATATACACTTTATGGGGTCTGCCACGCCTCCTTCTGCCTGTTACATACATTTAACAAAACCATTATACCCTAATTTCCTATTGAAAATGGGTTCAGGTTTCATCAAGATAGTCCATCCAAGTGTCGATATCATCTCGATTTTGTTTCCAAAAATCGATTACTACTCCCATTTGTTGTTATTGACTAAAATCTTGATCAAAAATTGCTTATAAAATTATAAATCTTATATCTTTAAAGCTAGAGTCTCAAAATTTTAAGTCTAGGTTCACATTAATTTTGTAGAATTTTGATTTTTTGTTTCTTGTGCAATCAGAAAATAAGCGAAGAATTATTTAACTATCTGTTCTTTGATTTATTGTCTTAATCGTCCATTTATATTTTCAGCCTAATTTTCTCGGCGTTTGTTGCAGTACTTAATGTGGTTGAATATTTTTTTAAAAAGATAACGGAATCGGATACTGAAATATTACAACACATTCGTAAGTTTAATAAAAAAAAAATAACTATATATTTATGTAAAAATATATGTAAGTTGAATAAGCGTTAACTATTCTTGCAGACT